AATGGCTCATGCCCCAGTAACCATGTGCACAGCAGGACTGGCACCAGGATGAAACCCCCAGCCCAGCCCAGAACCAGGGGCTCACAGGCAGCTGAAACACAATTTGGGGCTTGAAATTCAACCACGTGATTTTCAAGAAGCTTGACAAGACTACTGCAGTGCTGCAAGCATGGACCTCTCACTGTCAACCCTCAGAAATATTTAAAATTTATTTATCCAGCATTATTTAAAAACACATAAGGCAATAAACCAAGTGTTGAATTCTCTTTCTGAGCAAGGGACATAATCCCTTTTTTAGATCAAATGCTGCTACCTAGTGACACATGGGTGAGCGGTAAAGGCCTAGAAAACTGACATCTGACAGCTATTAACAAAAGCCAAAAGGAAAGCTTTAACAATGATACCATAAATAAAATGTCAGTCTTCAATGTAACCAGTTTTTTAACCATACTCTGGCTGTTGAAAGGGCAGTTCATTTGCCTCCATGCTGTTAACCTAGATCAGAGTTGGGGAGTGGGAAATCACTGTCACACACAGCTTTCAGAACAGAAGTACACCCAAAATCACTCTCAGAAGATTTACATTACAAGTATTGACAGCTAAGTCAGGAGAAATTTAAAGCAGAAGTTTAAAAAAGTAAAGGAGTCATTTCCTGAAAGAATCTAGTAATCACAGCAGCTTACTGTAGATGCCTTCTTGGGAAATGCACTCACTGGCCCTTTTCCCTTTTACTGCTTGTCAAATGTTTTTGATGCATTTTAATTACATGGAAAGCACTCGGAGTACAGACTATCTAGTACACAAAGGTTTGCACTGAAGTTAACCTGCACAGCTCACCATTCCAAAAAAGATGCTGACAACCTGAACGGCTGCGTGTACAATCCACTGTTAATTTCCATTAACAAATTAGGTGTACACTTCAGAAATGCAAATGTCAAAGAACATGCTGTAACTTTTCCTTTTTCAGAAGGCATACTAAGTACTTAAAAGCAAAACGGTTACCTTTAGATGATGTGTTTGAGATACAAGAAGCATTTAATGAAAGCTTAAGCTGCTGATAAAAAGATCATATACATCAATCTCTACCGACCCCCCTGTATCTGTTTGAGTCAGTAAAACTTCTCAACAGGTTGCCTCTCAACACAGTAACTAACTGCTTGCATGGCATCTTACTACCTTCAGGTATTGGGAGGGGAGGATGTAACGAGAACATTCTTGTATTTGAAATCCTTAACTTTCAACTGTTTTTTCTTCTTTTACACTTAGACAAAATGCCAAAATCCTGCTATATTACATACACAATATGCTTAACATTATTTTTTTTTCCTCTTTGCATCATTGTGCTTTACAATAAAACAGAGAGCCACTCCCTTCCACTTAATTTTTAAAATCCTTAAATTATTTACAATTACTAAGAGGCTAAAACAAAAAGCCAACAAAACCAAAACACTGAAACCCCACATCATTATGTCTAAGGTAGCAGCACTCTTATCTATTTATGCAACTAAAGTAAACATATGAATTCGTTTTTGACTATGTAGTATTAAAGTAGCAAGCTGAAAAACATGAAATATTCTTCTGTTCAATAGTACTTCTGCACTATAACATTTATTTTCGTAAAAGGAGAATCTCTGCCCCACAGCTCTCAGTCAAGCCACTTCTCAAGTGAGCAGACAATGTATTTCAACAGCACTGATTATGTGGCCCAGAATTTGCAGGACACTACTTGCTAACACAGTTGTCACCACATTTTGTAACTTTGATAACAATAATCTTCAGCACTGTAAACAGGTTCTACCACATCTATCTGTAGAGCAGTTTTTCAGCCTCCCTGAACTGTAAGAACAAGTCCTCTGCTGAACCATGGAGACAAAAGTTATTGTACAACAGCAAACTTGGCATTTGCTGCATAGAGAGAAAGTTTTAAATACGTGTTTCTATTTCAAAACCCTGTATTTGCCCTTATGTTTTCTCTTTTGGAACAATCCCCAGATTATCAAGTTTCATTCAACTACTGACTTCTTCAAAGTTTAAAATATACATCTGTAACTTTTTTAAAAAATACATAAACTAAATGCAAAAGCAAGCTTAAATATTAACAGAGCTTGGAATAAGTCCCAATGTACCTTTAGGATCTGAGGTTGTACAGAATAAGGTCTCATTTCTTAATTCAAAAATCAAGAATTTAACTTCCTTACCTACCATCACCTAAGAATCATATCCACTGTTAACGCTGGGGTGTCCTTATTTGACATCTGCTAATAAATGCCCTTTAAGAACAAAAACTTGCATGCCATTTGTTTGCTTGGACACCAATTCCAACATTTTCTTACAGATACCTTTCCAGAAAATTAGATCTGCAAGTGCTAAACACTTCAACTCTACCTCAGCTATGTGCCATGCTTTGACCCTAAGCTTTCCCTTTAACACCTCTAGTCCTCTCTGCTGAAGGCAAGCCCCCAAAAATGCTGCAAGGGTACAAAACCAGTGTTTGTACCCTGCCTTTATTGATCTCACAGGGCTTTTAGGAAGATAAACAAGATAAGCCAAGCTATATCATATCACACCTCACCTGAGATTGCAGTTCCATCTCTTCACTGCTCTGAAGCCTTCCTGCACCCACCAACCTCAACAGTGAAACCTAAAAGTCATCCTACCTTTTGAGTATAACAATCATTTTGACAATAATAATTTTTGTAAACTAAAGGGCTTTATGATACTATGGACAGATCTTCTTTTAGGCCAGAGACACGTCTAATTACTACAGTTAAGGCTCAGACCACGATTTAAGGGAAATAGAATGGAGATCTTGCTGAAGAATGATGTCAACACTGCATCTAGTGAAAAATTGCTTCTAGGTGAAAAGATGCTACTCTCTCTCTTTCTAGATAATACAACAGAGGAAACTGAACCAGCTTTTCCAGCTCCAAACTTCTATTCACAGGCTTTTATTTATCGTTTTAGGGACTTCCTCTATATGGATTTCCATGCAGAGTAAAACTCAAGACACTCCAAAAGGCACAGAGCCAACCTGCATTCAGAAGCAAGAATTTGGGACTCAGGCTCACAACACTTCGCTTTCACTATTGTTTTCAACACACTTGGCATGGCACTAAAACACTTGGGAAAATATTATTTAACAAACTGAGCTGATATACAACACATTTAACAACACAGGAACTCTTATCTCCCACGAGATTAGTTAAAAGTATTTAGATTATCAAGGTTAAAAACTGCCTTCTGAGCTAAAGAATCAATTCCGTTCTGCATGTTGATGGCTGCATACAAAGCAATTAATCCGTAGGATCTCAGCACTGATTGCACTGCCGTTTTTAAGTACTTCCCTTCTTTCAGACAGCCATCTCTAAAATAGTTCAATATACAAGTAACTTGGGATCTGAGTATTTAAAGTCTTCTTATTTCAAGAGAAAGAGGAATTTGAAATCTCAGTTCTGAAACAAATTCCTGTGTTGTGGGTTTGAGTTTAGACTCAACTTTGCTCACTGTACTAACCTCATCTGAACTTAATGTTAGGCACATCACAGCCTCAGATACAGTGTTTCTCAGATACACATTACCACTTAGAGTAACTCCTAGCAGAGCCTGAGTTAGAACTTAATGATGCTTTTGGAACGACTTGCATCAATTCAGCCAAAAGACAGTCCTTGATCTCTGGTTAAGGATACAACAGGTCGTTTTGGTTATCAACAACTATTGTACTGATGCTTCATGTCAAAACTCGAGTTACAGCGGATTCCCTTAGCAGGAACAAAGTCGATGCCAGGACGCGCTGCTCAGCAGACTCACCCATCACTTTCTTGCCGTGATGAGCAGTTTTGCCTTTTATAAATACCGGTGCCTATGCACGTAAGTATTTCAAGCGAGGCGAGAGGAAAAACATGCGGCTGTCTTCTGCCGAGCTACTTTCAGACAACAGCTTATGTGCCGCATGTATCTCTGGCAGACCAGTCACATTATCCTCCAAAATACAAAATAAGCGAATTTCACAGGAAAAAAAAATAGCACCTTATGCTCGCAGCCGCCAACACTCGCGGTTCCGCTGGTTTTTTTACCACAGCATCAAGACTTCCCAGGCGACTCGCTCCGAGAACGACGAGGAGTTTCACGGGGCGAGCGAAGGCTCAGGGGGAGGGCGGCCCCGCCGGGGCAGGAAGCGCCCTCCACCCGCCCGCCCGCCCGTCCCGTCCCCCCGTCGCCTCACGGCGCCCCCGGCGCAGTCCGAGTCGGGGATTTCGGGCACTTACGTAACGCCGCGGGGCCGACGCCGTGTTTCTCCCCCTTCCCGAAGTCAAAGTCGCTTCCCCGAGGCCCCCGAAGTCCCTCAACGCCCTGGGACAGCAGCGCCGCCACGCGCTTCCTTCCCCAGATCCTTCCCACTCCGCTTGCCTCCCTCCCTCCGGGGGACGCGGCGCTGGCTCCCAGCCCGCAGCGGGACAGCGGAGCTCGACGCCGCCTCTCGCCGGAGGAGCTCCATCTCCGCCAGGCAGGCCCCAGCTCCCAACATTGGCCGCAAGGGAAAGCGGCCGAGCCCCGGCAGAGAAGGGCCTCCGTGAAGAAAAGTTTCCCCTCTCGCATCCCCCGGCCGGACCGAGGCCCCCCCCCCCCCCCCGCCCGTAAACACGCCAGCCCGCACTCCTCACCCATGCACCCCGCTCCGGCCGCCCCTGCCCCGCTCACAGCCGCGCGTCATACACCCCGCGCCGGGACGCCTGCAGCCACCCCCGGCGGGCGGGGCCACCGCCTATCTTGGCGGGAAGGGCTGAGGCGGCACCGCCCTCCCTCCATTCCCTCAGCACCGGGCTGGCCCCGAGGGCCGTCCTGCGCGGGGAGGGCAGAGCGGAGCGGGGCTCCGTTCCTACCCCTCGAGTGGCACCTCCTGGAGCAGGGATACTCCAGACACGAGACTATTGCCTCACGGTTTTTTTGTTATGTTATTTGTTTTTTTTCTTAAACCAGCACGTTTCCATTCTTTGTGCACTATCCCGTGTTTATACTCGTGCTCTTGGCTCTTTAAGTACGGTCTCCCAACTGTAATTCAGTGTGGACACGTTTTTAACTACCTCTCTGTACTTAAAGTTTTATACAGCGCACGGAAGGGAATTAGCAACATTTTTCAGTCTGAAGAGTTGCCTGGTCAGCATGGAGAAAGTGTGGCAGGTGTGCCAGAACGGCTCCCACCAGAAACGCTGTCAACACGAGGAGCCCCTTCCATCTTGTGTTAGCATTTTTAATGTCTACACATCAATAGAGCAAAATCCAGACCAATATTTTCCAAATCTAGCCAGCTACTCGGTAGCTAACCTGATCCTTCTAAGATTTCCAGCCACTGATGGATGGTACAGAGGGGAAAGGTGGCTGGGGTGTTCTGGGGAGCTGCGGAGAAGAGGGCACAGCACCGTGCTCTTTGTAGTGTCACACTGGTGCCAAAATCTGTGCTCTGGAAAATGGCCCAAGGGGCTTTCTTTTTTAAGAAAATTTCACTTATGTGCAATATACCGGTTTCATTTCCCAAATTTCACATTATTGAGCAATAATGTGATTGGCTTTTTTGGGGGAATAAAAATAGTTTGGTGGTGGAGTAATAATGAACCCACTGAACTTTCTGAATTTCATCTGAATTTTCCGTCCCTGTTCAGACAGGAACACAGATAGATACGAGCCATATCACTGAGCTGGGTCTCTCCTGGTATGGAAGATGGGCACAGGGAAGGGACCAGGACATGGAGGGCTGAGCAAGTGTGTCCACCCCCCCTACAGCATGGCAGCCTGGTCATCTGCTTCTCCCCAAATCCACCTGGTGTTCAGCCTGAGTTGTCCTGTGATTATTCTTAGTGTACTAATTTATATAAGGTGTGGACCAAGCTCTTTAACCCAAGGTTTTTAGAAACAGGTGCTTGTGGCAGTTTAAGAATTCCAGGTCTGAGAGTGTGTGCAGGATGTATTTGTCAGGTGCTTCATGTGTAAAGAATTTTGGCACACCCAATGTTTAAATTGGCCACCAGTGCCTTCATGTTGGGATTGCCAGCTGCACAGAGATCTTCACACCAGAGCATCTTTTATTTATGGGTTGGGCTGGTTCTTGTGAATCAAAATGATCAGTTTATGTTGTGACCTGTGGTAGATTTAATTTGCCCTCTAAATCAATTATTCTTGACATCAGAAGCAGCTTCATGGTTAATTAACTTTTCTTTCATGCTTACAAAATAATTTTATAACGTCAGGTTAAGATACAGCAGAAGGTTGGATGCAGGCAGAGTAAAACAGTCCTAGTGTTTCTGCCTGTGTGTCCACGCCTTAATTCTCTTCGTTAAGTCCAAATTGACATTGTTTTCTGAAAGGTTTGCAAAGCATTACAGCAGTGATGTGCTTTTTCTAGCACATATAGTCATGGAATATCAGCACAAGACTTTAACTCCAATTAATAGAAGAATAAGCAACCTGGTGTCTGAAGAAGACTGTGAACTAAAAATGACTTAATGCTATCATGCAGAGCAACTTCAGTGCTATGAAAGACTGCCATAATTTCTTTCTATTGTCTTCCTATAATCTTCAGAATTCTTTTCTTCCTCCTAAATGAAGTATTTTTTTTACTGTGTTCAGCTAGAGGGGAAGATAAACCTTGTAACAGTGTATGTTTGCAAACCCTCAAACACTTTTTCTTAAATCGCTCTATAAAAAAGTAAATATTTGACCTAATTTTTAAGTAGTGTTGAAAAACTTGGCTAAGGGTCAGTGACTCTTGCTTTGTGCTCCCTGTACTGAAATGGCACAATGATCATGTGTGCTGGTTTCAATGGAGTTTTTTGTACTTATCTATCTTTTGCTCTTACATATTAACTCTGTATCTTAGTACTGCAGATGCAGTCTTGCAAAAAAAATGGATTCTACACAGAAGACACATAGAAGGCAAAGGGTGGGAGACTGTGGGATGTCCCACTAAACAGAGTATACACTAATTTATTTTACTATTTTGTATAAGTAGGGTATTTCACATAAATTATTTAATTGCCATTTTAATTTAGCTGAAAAAACTTCTCTCGAAGCATAGTGCCATCTAAAATAACATTTATTTTTGCTGTTTAATTATAACCTTACTGTTATGGTTTTGCCACAGCTACACTTTAAGGGTGGAGGAAATATATTCTTCAGAAGACATGATATAGCAATGATATACTGCAATACATGTCCTATACTATGCTTTCTGAATTGCCTTATGATTTTTGAACGGTCACTCTTTACAAAGAGCTGTTTCAGGGCTTGCATTTTCACTTCAGATCTTCACAAGGATCACATGAAAATTGGAGCAAGTCTGTCTGGTGTTGAGCCAATGCAAATAGATGGTTCAGTAAGTATTTTACTTCATTGTGTCAGTGAGACATTTGCATTATTTATGAAAGCTTTCAGTAATGGGCTGTCTACAACTCTCTTGGCTTACAGGTTTCTCTCAAGTAATTTGAATATTGCTGTGAACTTTTCCTTTGTGCTGTCATATAATTTCTGATGGAACCTACCGAAGTTGTAGCTCTCTTTAACATAAAAAAATGTTTAAATATTGTTGGCAGTGTTGATGGGGTTTTTTTAGCAGCACTAAAAAGTAATTTTTAAAAATGGATAGAAGCCAGGATATCTGTAGGTTCATAGATTTACTGTGTGGCAAGGCTATCCTTTAAAAGTGTCTTGGCTTTAAAAGCTGGAGTTGGTGATTTTTTTCAAGTTTTCTGTACAAGTGGACTTGGTTAGTTTGTAAGCGGGAAGGAATTATCTAGTGGTAGTCAACTGTAGTTTGTTCCATGGAAGTCAGTTCTCTCTCCCACCAACTCTCTTTTTTTTTTTTTTAGGTGCTCAAATATCAGTTTTACAATTGATGGGACTTGCAACTAGAACCTTGCAGCATATGTTGTCCTTGGGCTAAAATAAAATCTCTCTGCTTCTTATACAGATAAGTGAGTTCTGTGTTACAAAAGAAAACTAATATTAGAGATTTAATTCTTAGCTTTATATATTCTTGGTCAGCAAAACTCAGTCATGGCATATTGAAATAGGACTTTAAATTCTTTGCTTTCAGTAACTTTAAAAAGTATTACAAACAATAAAAAGAAAATCTGTTTTGTTTCTTTATTCATTGAAAATCTTTTTGAAGCAGCAGTGTATTGGCTTTTCTAGCTGACAGATGCAGAAATGCAGAATACCTTCCCAGCTTTAGAATACTTCCACTCCTTAGTCACCCACAAAAGGAGGCCAAATCCAGTAACTTTAAGCTTTTTAAGGGGGAATTAAATGCTTTACTCTCAAATATTGCCTTTTGTGAAAAAAAGAATGAATATTTATTGTATCATTTAAAAATGAACTGGTGATTCCTAAGTTAGCACAGTCGCAGATTCTGCACTAGAAGTTTGTTCTTGTTTGGCTCCAGTGGGTTGTAACCACCCTTGTTGGTTTGTCAGAAGTTCTGGAAGTGTCCTTCTGGGATGCTACTATCTTTTCTCAAGATTTTGTACATCCAAATTATCTTCTCGATTCATTTGGTGCCTAGTTGAATGGAACACTATTGACTTTTCTCACACTTTAGCTGTTATTGCTGTCTTATCCATGAAGTGTTCTGTTTAGGAGAGCAGAGTTGTGTGTTTTAGGGATGGGGGTTTTAATAGGTACTATTCCATTATGGGTTTTCTTATGTGAATTTTTTTCTTTTTTTTTTTTTCCTTTTTAAATTGTAGAGGTTGTCTATTCTATGGTCCACCAGGGACTGGAAAGACACCGCTTGCTTGTGCACTTGCTAATGAATGTAACAGAGACGACAGATTTTAATAGGACAAATTCCAACTACAGAAGAGACATAGCACCTCTCAAAGAGAGAACATTTTATAGATAGTCATGGCTTTAGATAGTCATTTATCGTTATAAACAATACGCTCTGAAGAGTCACTCAAGTGCAGCTGCTTCCTTGTACCATACATCTCCTAAGCAGTCAATACAGTTCATGCAGCTGACACTACATGAAACAGCCTCAGCCTTGCTAAGCGGGGATGGAATTATCTCCAGAGAAGCTGTATTTCAAGGATCACACAATGGTTTGGGTTGGAAGGGACCATATAGAACATCTAGTTCCAAACCTGCTGCCATGGGCAGGGACACCTTCCACTAGACCAAGTTGCCCAAAGCCCCATCCAACCTGGCCTTGAACACTGCCGGGGATGGGGTACCCAACTTCTCTGGCCAAGCTGTGCCTGAACAGACACTGATCTAGCAGAAAGTGATGCAAATCTGCTGATTCCATAAACCTGAGATTTTATCTCAGGGGCACAACTTAAACACCAAGTGCTGTCGCTGCATGTTAGTGTGCTTTTTCAGAGATTATCACATCTTTGGTAACAGAAGGGACTGTCTGAGAGACTGGTAATTTGTAACAGTCACTCTGCTATTCACTCTTGGGTTGAAAGGTAGGAGCTAACTGCTGTAACTTTGCTTGCTGATCTACTTCAGACTTGAGCAGCGTGTTCTGCCAGCAGTGCTGTAGGCACAGTACACATTCAGCTAATGGCTAAAGGTGAGCACCTAAGGATGCTTCCATTTTTGCCTGGCACAGCTGTATTTGGAAGACCTGTAGCCTTGGCCTCCAAAGACACATTTTCCAGGGCCCTGTATCGTGTTTCTAACAAAATGCAACCGTGGCTTTGCTGTGGCAGCTACTCTATAACAAAGTGGATTCTGTCATTCCCTGCTGTTTTGGAAGCAGTAGATCAGCAATTATGATTATCGATGTCATAGACTGATGAGCAGGAAAATATTATCAGAAATTTTAGCCTTCTTTTTTTCTTAAGTATGAAAAATTAACTCATTTTCTCCAGTTAAATCCTGAGAGATAAGTTCTCTGAAGTGCCACTTTTATCTAACAATATAAGAAAGTAGGGTGTATCTTGCACTATTCTGAACTGTAATTTCCTTTTTTTCTTCAGCAAGTGTTGCATTCTATCGCTGTGGTAACTGAGCACATCAGTGTATCTCACATGGCAAAACTATATTCTGTTCTTAGCCATCAGGAAGATGATGACAAAACCTAATTAGTGAAGGTAAATTGATTGTCTAATAGCACTTTCTGTCACACACTCTTATGCATGTGCATTATGCCTATGTATGTGTGCACTGTGACCATCACACTTATTTAGCATTACTCTTTACTGCTTAGTTGCCTGTGTTATAAGACTTCTTCATTTCAGTCTGGAAGACATTTATCCCTATTGCAAAACCACTGTTGTATTTGGCATAATTGTTGGCAGTTCCAGCAGGAAAAGGCAGTGAGTCCACCCACACAGGCCTCTCAAAGCAGTCTGTCACTAGCCCTTCTCCAGAACCTTTTCAGGGGTAGGGGGCTGCAAAAGGAGGGCACTTTTCTCAGTCTGCTGCTTCATCTTTCTCCCCTTGCAGGCAGTCACACATGGTAACACTTGTATAGTAGTCATTCCGTTCTTGAAAAGAAATTAAGTATGAAAACATTACAAGAATTTGAGATTTTCCTCTAGTCTCACCAGACTCCTTTTAACTAGCATGGCCCAAGCATCTTAAATTTGACATGTTAGGAGCTTTCTGCCTATGACAGTTTGATGCGAATGAGTCAGTCCCTATAATGTGTTGATTTGGATAGGTTGTATATTCAGATCTTTGAATAAGTTTTGTCTTTCCAGATGCTTGTCCTGAGAATAGATAAAATTCTTTATGTCTCCTAGTCTGCCCTAAAAAAAAAAAAAAATAGAGGAAGCCTCTTCTCTTTGGCCCTGTTCATCTCGATCTCTTCTTCCACATCCAAGAAAGAGCTAGAATGGATGCTCTGTCCTGATTGTGCAGCAGTGAAGATTATTTGATTCAGGAAGGCCATTCCTGAAAATGCACCTTTCTCTCATCTAGCATAATGATGTGTTTTAGCATGAGAAGGGATTTGTTATCTCAGGGCTCGTGAGCTTTTGTGACTAGACTTGATTTCTGTGGTTTTCTAATTCTACCTTTAGCTTAAACCAAAAAATATCTCCTATTCAGCATGACTGTGTGAGCCAGTCAGGAGCTGCTCTACTACATGAAGACAGAGATTTTAACAAGTACTTATTCAGAGTGCAGAAAAGAACAGTTCCAGCTTTCAATTGTGGCTCTTCAGGAACTGTCTTCTTTCTCATTGTTGAAAGTACCATTGATACGAGATCCACAGTCCTCTGACATAGATTCCTGCAGTCTCTCTAGCCTACTCTCTATTTTGGGTGCTTAAGGACACATTTGAAACTAGTGATCTAGAAAGATCTTGCGATGGCATAAGCCGAAACATATATTGCCTAAATATTACTAACAGCTGTATGTATGTACAGATTCTTGATCCTTTTGATGAAGAAGTAAACAGGGTTCTCAAGCTGTATTCATGCTGACTCCTGATTTGTCTTTTTTTTTTTTTGTCAGGCAATAAAGAAAGAAATTGCAGCCCACAGTTGTCTGTGATACTTGACTTGACATACACGAATGATGTACAGCTCCCACATAGATAAATTATGTTTAACATATCTCAGTAATTGTAGCAGCCACAGAAAAAAAGAACAGAAGAAAGAAACTTCTTTCAGTACATCAACTGAAACCAGGCATAATGCAACGCTGAGCCAGCAACACTTGGTGAAAACAACTATAAACCAGATTACAACAAAGAGGAGAAACAGGACATTTCTTATATGGCACCCACTTCCATCAAGAAATAAAAGGAGACAATACTAATGAAAGCAGACTACCTTGTTTGACAAGTATTTAATGCCTCCATTCACAACACTGTCCCTAAAGGAAGAATCAGGCATGGCCATCTGAGGGAGAGCTGTTCCCTGAAGGATATAAAGGAGACACAGATTGCCTATTTAAGCAGCCTCCTGTCATTTGCAATTCGAAATGCTGCTTTACTTTCTGAGGTCACTCAAAACTCTTTTTGTGACTGAAGTCACAACCTGAATTTATTTATTCCATATCCTGTTTACTAATTCACCGATAAGTCCTCCTTACAATGCTAACCAATCACTGCATCACATGGCTTCTTTCTACACAAGAACAAATCAGCTCATCCATTGATGCCTTTGTGAACACATTGTCAAGATTTGTTCTACTTCAAGCAAAGCACTGGCCTTGTGGCCTCGAAGGAAGATATCACTGTAGCAACTTGAGGTGCTGGTGATACTGCATGGTTTCCCTTCTCTTCCTCTTTACTGTACTGCACTCCTGCCAAAAGTTAACTTTACAGGAGAGTGATTCCTTTTGAGAAGACAGACAGGGCTGCCTCAATTATCCTGACTCAGCACGTTTGGAACAAAACAAGGACCAACTGCAGAAAGAGACATTTGTAATGCTTGCTCCAGAACACAAAATAAACAGAGCGAGTGCGCAGCTGGCCTGGTGGCAGCTACAGAGCCTAAGCCTTGGCTCGTCGTTTGGCAGGAAGAGCTGCAGTGCCTGCATAGGAATGAAACATTTTCTTTTCACCAGATCTCTTTGCCACATTCAAGAACACCAATAAGATACAGCAGCTGACTGGAAAAGAGGACAGAGCCTGTTAGGATTTCATGTTAAGAAAATAGCCATTATACTCCCAATCCAGTACATACATTCTTCTAGGTTCATATCACCTCGATTACTGCACTTCCAGTAATACAGAAACCAGGATCCTGAGCTGAAAAAATTCAAAAAGAGATTTCTTACTTGGGAATAAGAAACTGCAAAATTAACCAAGATCTGTATCACAAACCAACTTCAAACACGTAAAACAAAACCACCAAAGATTTCTACCATGCTGAAAGTTTGTGATTAAAAAAGCCACAAATCTTGTTCTCAGAAGTTCATTATGTAGCATTGTACACTGAAATACAGGATGTTGTTATGCAGCCAAGCATCTGGGGAGATTACCCGTGATTAAAAAAAAATCTCTGGGAAAAGCAGTTATTTAACAGAACAGGGATGACGGCAAAACAAGCTACCGGATTTGTGCAATTGAATCAAGCTGGATGTTAGGAACCATTATTTTACCATAAAACAAATCAAACAGAAATATTTACCTTGATCCTAAGAGATGGCTGAGTACAAAGCTCCCAGCAGTTTCCCACCAAAAAAACAGAGCAGTATCCTTACAGACAGGGCGGTGTAAAATGACCTGAAGGGTTCAAGAATATGTTTCTTCGTAGTACCAAAGAAAAGGAATTCGGGGAAGCCACGTAGGAGGCTGTCCTGAGAGACATGGTAAATACCGAGCAAAGGGGATGTTGAACCCATGTTGCAATGATATCTGTGGGCAACAACAGAGAGACTAAAGGCCAAGAGGAAGACACAGCCAAGCCCAGAGCAGAGAGAAAAAGCCAGAGACAAAAACTGTATAGGGTTCTCTTCCTATGTTGTAAAGCTATCCTCCCACTACCGACAGTCACATCAATGCTCATTCTCAACACACAGTTAAACTCTGCACTACAGCTGTATTTCACCATTCTGAAATGCTACATAAATACTACATAATTAAAACAGCTAAAGCTTTTCCTGACAGTTTTCTTGCATTCAAATATACATGTTCATTCTTCCAAGTATGAAGCATCATCACTACTTGGAAGAAGCCTGCTCCTTGTACTGAATAGAACTGCTTAGCTGATTTATAGGGCATTTACTGTAACTGCTTCTGGGCATAAAGCAAGCAGTTTTTGTTTGTTGGCTTGGTTATTGGAGGTTTTTTTTTTGCTTTTTTCAGTGAAGAGTGACAACTGTCAGAAGCATCCATTAGCACAGAATTTGTCCAAGAAAAATTCTGTCATATTGCTGTTATTACAGGAAAGACAAGAAAAGTAATCTCAGACAAGGACATATGACTTGGCAGACGTGAAACAGAGATATCAGCCTCAAATTCCAAGAACAAACTTAACTACTGCCAGCAAGCTGACAGCTACAGTTCATGTGCATCTGCTGTTTCCCAGAACTGCACTTTGCAGAAGCGTGAAGTTAGACACTTTGCAATTCTATCAAGTTGAGACATTAAAGAAAAAAACTCAGCACTCTGAACCCATATTAAAAAAAAAAACCCAAACTTTAATATGTTTTTCTCCAAGATCTAATATACAAATGCAACGGTAATAATGTACTCTTCTTTTGTAAGCTTGGATGAAATATATTGAAGTCCACTTTTTGCATGTTATGTAAAAAATCATCTAAAGCAACCTAGAAAAGAAGAAAAAAAGCTTAATCCATATGGTGCATACAAATAATTGGGCATTAAGTTTAAAAAAACAATACATGAAACCAAATGAGAAACTGCAAAAAGGCTTGACAGTTTGTGTTATTAAGTGGTAGTGTAACCATCACATTCCAAGCATATAAAAAAATCAGATTTTGTGAAGAGAAGCATTACCTTTTACTAGACCAAACAGCAAATTATAAAAATAGACAAGATTTGGGGCTCTTGCATCAGAATGGCAGTCTGTGAATATACAGACATCTTGGGTGAAATGATGTAGTTAAAGGAGAAGGATTAAAAGTGTTGATCAAAACTGTAAGGCTCCACAGTCAGGCACACATTATGATTGATCTTTGTGAGTTTTAGGTATTACATCCTCCCAAAACAGACACACGAAGCAGGAGTTAACCATGCTTAATTTGATACTCTTCACAAACATTAGCAGAGGAACAAGTCCATCACTTAAAGAGTGCATGATATCACACCCACCGTACAGAAAAAAGCAGGATACGCCTTCGCGGGAACTTTCTTACTGAAAGATCTAGCCTAAAAGTAAATGGGGTAAGGTGGGGGGGAAACAAAACAAAAACAAACGTACTTATCAGAAGAATTTAACATTTCAGATTAAACATCAAGTACTATGTAGAATGGTTAGAGGCAACAAACTGGTTTATGAGCTTCATCCCTTTTTATTTTGACATCCTGAATGTGTAACTTTTCCTTATGTGCAAGCCAGCACCATCCCTCACTGTGTACAAAAGCAGTTACACAGTAAGTATGTAATACTGGGAGAGGCCTGCTAAAATATTTATGTGATTTGACAGACTTAAAGGTTACATATTATAAATCATGTAAATTAGCATCCCTTGTTCCAGCAAAGTCCCAAGTTGCATCTGGTTTAATAAACAATTTAACCTTTCCCCCACCCCACAACCCAAATAACTCTCTGCATGCCAATAGACAGAAATTATGGAAGACCAGAAATGCACTTCTCTCCATGCATCTTTTTGGTCCAATGTTGCCATCAGCCCCAGAAGCCCAGTTGTAAATGCTCCCATTGCATTTCTGGGACTTCAGAATTATCTCAGTTCCTCAGTATTTACATATCACACCTAAAGCAAGGCTGAATCAAATCTACAATTTAAACTCGTGTTCAGCTCAGGTTCCTCTAACAGAGCTGAAGCAAGTCTTCCTGTAATGTTTATTTATAAACACAAAATCCCTCCTTGTTTTGCCTTTTCTTACAGGTTAAAACAAACCAACCCTTTACAAATACTGACAAGAGTGTATAAGTTTCTGATAGTTTTTCACAAATTTTTCCAGGCAACTGAGAAAAATCAGCCTGAAACTTTGGAAGGAAAAAATACTTAATCTTTTATAAGGCAAATTATTTTAAAACTTTTTGTATGCCTATCTCTAAAAAAGAAAAATATTCTTCCCTGATCTAACATCTTGCTTTACTATTATTAATTGCAAGATGAAAAAAAAAAGTAGTCTTGCTTGACCTTCTTAACCCAGAATGGGTTGCACGTCATTCAGAAAGCATGTTATCTTCCTTGGTAAATTGAGCCCATAATGAGGTAGCATAACTGAGATAAATGCAAAAAGCCAAAAGGACACTCTCTTTTAACAAAGGGTGCTTAAGAGGAAGGAGGAGAATGTGTAAATGTATTCACAGGCTTTCAAAGGCGGACTGTGGGACTGACAGAATGTTTATTATAAGTTTTTATTCTAATAAAACACAGAACTCCTAAGGAAAACTACAGTCTTCATTATCTTATTTTGCCCTCTGCTGGTCATCAGTCCCTGACCACACTCCAGAAATTTTTCTGCCAAGATTAAGGGCCACATTACTACAATATGCTTCCTATAATATTGCTGAGACTCAATTCTGCATTTTAGGATTATATGTCTTCTGGCTGTGAAATGGGGCTGGTAACCATTGTCCTCATCCTCTAAAATATGTGGTTTGTGTAACAAATGCTGAGATTGTCGAAACCTGTCTTCAGGTTTAAACTTTACCCTACTCTCTAATTCCAACTAAAACAAAGCATAAGTGGCTCAAAAGACCCTCAGGCAAAACAAGATGGTGATTTTATACAGGAGGACAGATGCATTTAAAGGCACCAGCCCACTACATTCACCTGAAGTCTTGAAATACCCAGCAAACCTTGCCAGCTAAAGCCCATTTCAGCCATTAGGGGAGAAAGTACCTTTGTCCTTGCATTAACAAAGATCATCTGATTATTAAGAAGGCCAATATCCTGTTACTGCTGCCAGTTATAGCCAGTTCAAGTGCTTTGAACACTCTACAGAGATCCTGCACTGTCAACTATTCTTCACTGATGATGATGGAGCAAGTATTCAAAGAGGAATTTTTAAATTTTAATTAAGGTGATATAACCCATCCACTAACAGAAAAAGGGGAGAGGGTGCCAAGACAAACATTCAGTTGAATGAAATGCTAATGCTGCCCTAATCTGGTTTCCTCCTGTTTATACTTTTCTGTATAGTCTCCAATTACATGATCACATTGCATATTTTCCTCAGGACCCTCCCAGTGTATAACATGGGCAGGGCTCTAGGAATGCAGTGGGAAGAAAGGAGGCCTGTTCTCTTCAGAAGCTGGTAGGCATTCTGGAAGTGAGGGGACCAAGGCAGTATGAATTATCAAATTATCTGAAAGTTCTGAAGAACTGAATTCTCTTCCTGCTTCTGTCCCAAAGTATCCATACAATACCAGGAACCAAATTTTAAAGATGTAGACCATAAATACACATTACTCATTTCCATTCCTCCCATCCCTGATATGAGGCATTTCAGACCAGGCACTTGGCATTTTTGTAAGCCAAAACTGCAACCAAAGTCAATGGGTTTTAAATGCTGTGCATTATGGGATAATGGGTAGAGAATAAAAGAAGAAAAATCAAAATATTTCAGCTCGAACAAAGGTAGTGGACAGTTTTGATGCTGCATTTTCTTTGGCTCTGTTCCCTACTTCTAAATGGAATAAACAGTTTTCCTGGGCATGTGACCACAAAAACTGAGACATCAGAAGAAACAGTGTGAACAGGAATGCGTTAATGCAAATTAGAATTAGTCTATAAAAAATAAAGCTCAAGGCTACATAGAATCATAGAATGGTTTGGGTTGGAAGGGATGATCTGGTTCAAACCCCCACTGCCATGGGCAGGGACACCTCCCACTATAGACCAGGTTGCTGAAATCCTCATCCAATCCGGCCTTGAGCACTTCCAGGGATGAGGCATCCACAGCTTCTCTGGGCAGCCTGTGCCAGTGCCTCACCACCCTCACATTAAAGAATTTCTTCCTAGTATCTAATCTAAACCTGCCCTCTTTCAGTTTAAAGCCACTCCCCCTTGTCCAACATGCCCCTGTAAAAAGTCCCTCTCTGGCTCTCTTGTAGGACTCTGTAGGTACTGGAGAGCTGTTATAATATATACATACTATTAACATAAAATAAAAACATTAAGCAATTAACTAACATCTGACTGAACAAACCAGAGATCCCTCATTTTACCTTCAGAAAAGGGCTCTCCTATTTCTACTGCAAAAAAATCCTGTGATCACAGGTAATGCTGTAATTGAGGATTATATCAATGGTGCAAATGCAGAGATAAATCTGGCATTTCTTTACTCTGAAATGGTATCTTTCCAGACTACCCTGACTGGAAGCACTGAGGGCAATACTTAAAGTATACACAGACATGTACTCCTAGACATAAGCAGCTCTTTACAGTGCTTCTTGCAAGTTTTGTTTTCCAGATGGAGGCAGACCAAGCATTGCTGATGAAACATTCTTTTGCTTTTGTACTATGCACCAACAAGCAATTCAGAGTGTAGCTAAAATAAAAACATGAAAGAAAAAATAGAGTAGAACTCTGCAGTCCTTCAGGGCTCATAATTCACTGTTCCAAGCAAATAAAGTCTTTCATAATTCACTTGGCTGTATGCCAGAAAAGATATAAACAGAAAGCACTTTTCCCAACTTAATTCTGGGCATGGCTGGTCATGCTAGGGAATGAATCCCCTCTCCCACACACACTAACCAGCAGTTAAAGGCAACATGCTCTGTTTTCCTGGCAGCCATTCCACCGTGCTGCAAAATACCATATGCAGAGGTGCTTTCTATGGTGCTGATCCCATGCTGGCACATAGCTGCATTTAGGAAAGTCTGCTTGAAGTTTCTCTTCCAGTAATAAGTCTCTTAGGCAGCATTTATATATAACAAATTGGACCTGGCTGTGAGTAAACTGCCTCCTGTACATAAAGATAAGTATAATATTCATAAAGAAGTAGTAATATTTAAAGGTTGGGGTTTTTTTAATTTAAACTTCCAAAATAATTAAAGGCAAAATATTAGAAATTAAGTATGCAGTTTTAAGTCATCTAACAACAAATGCGTAAGGAGACTAGCATCAGTTATGTTTATTTAAATAAATAAAAGGAAAGGAATCTTACATGTTCTAGATGAATATGGGCCTGGCTGGCAATGTCATAAATTACATCTCTCACATTTTTCTCTTGCTTGCCCCTTATGAAGTCCTCTTGTGAAACTCCATGCTAGACATAGGAAGGAAAAACAAAATCAAAAAGAGAAAAAAAACACCATAAATATCAATTTTCCATTTTAACTTCTCAAAAATATGTTCCAGCAACCAAACTAAGGACAAAATACTAAAACAGCCTAAATGTTTTACTACTGCTCCCTCCTTTTTTAATTCCTTTTTTGTTGTTGTTTGGTCAATCGCTTAAAAAAAAATTCAAGAAATCACAGAGAACAGTTGGTACAGATTCTTTCTGCATGATTTTGCTCCCTAAATCTTTGTGGTCAGTAAGACAACCAAGTTAGATTTTAAAGTTTGGGGAATTTAGATCAGTTTAGATACCCAATTTTTAAAACCATGAACCAAGAATAGATATTAAGCAGAAGCAAGCCAGTAACAGCTAACACAAGAAGCCATGCTGGCTTTTGAAATCTTGGGATTGGTGTGCACCACCAGGCTTGCAAAAAAAAACCCCAACCAACCAACAAACAAAACCAAACAGCAAAAAAACAGATCCACTGGAAAACCACCCCTCCAAACCTCAAAAGAAACCAACCCCAACCTTATTCTTCTACTACAGATACCAGTGTGAGACACAATATGGCATATTCAGAATTGCACCAGCTGCCTGTCCCTCTCAACAACAGCGAGGCATGTGAAAGCTGTATAAATGTAGGCTGGTGGGGCTTCACAGGAGGTAGAGGCTCCAGGAGAACTCTGCAATACTTGCCAGCAGCTGAAATGCTTACAGGATGCTCAATCTTCACGGAAGGGATGCAAGCTTTTTTTGGTTTCACTGCAAAACACCTTCCATGGCAAGGAATGACTGTGAATTTTCAGGCTATGTTTGAAAAGCTGAAAATTTGGAAGGCCTCCCATACCATGCAGTCCCAGAAGGGCTGCAAGCAGGGTGCAGCTCCTTTTTGCAGTCTTATAACCCTGACCTATATTAGCATCTACATTTTTTGCAACTACCTACATTACTAAACTTCAAATCAAAACTTTTAATTGTATTGAGATTATATTCAGAAAATACTAACACAGCTGCCTTAGTCATCACTATAATTGCAAAAATTTTGGTTAAATAAAAAAAGAACAGCATTAACATTTAGAAATAAAGACTGGAAATGAAGGAATTACAGTTGAGATGCTGCAGATTGAGCCACAGAACATTAATGAAAAATTCTGAGCTTTAATCCCATCCTACTTAAGCTGCACGATCTGTTAAATTCCAATGCAAATTAGGTGTATAGTTTAAATTGGAGGACTATACCATCTCCTACAGCAATGTATGGAATGTATGCCTATAGCTGTCAAATATGGAACAAAAAAACCCCAAAACCACCAGCACATTTATGAAAAAGTAACAAAGAGAAATGCAAGAAGATTGTTCAGAAATAAAATTTCTCACAGTCCTTCCTTTATGGTCATAGGAAAATTAAAAAAAAAAAAAAACAAAAAAAAAGAAAGAAAAAACCCACATCCAACCCTAAACCACAAAACCGAGGCCCCATTACGTAGTTGCATTTTTATACATTAATGGAAAAATTCCTGAAAATCAAAATATTACATTTAATAAAAACAAATAAAACAAACAACCCCCCCCAAAAAAAACAAACACACAAAACCCAAAACCAAACAAACAAAAACCCAAAAAGAAACCCTAGAGTTTCTTGAAGGTCACTCCTCTCACCTCCCAAAGGATACAAAACCATGACAATGGCATATTACTAGCCCACAGCAGAAAGTTAAATTAAAGAAAAAAAGTCCTGTTTCTTTCTGGCAGAATAAATCATGATCTCATATCTAGCACTGAGAAACACAGTTAGAAGAAACATTATACTGTTCAATTCCAGACAAATTGCTTCTCTCACCAACATACAAATGTCCATGGGAAGAAAGACCTTTTGTCTTGTACTATGATACGGAGTTGCTCTTAAACAGGTAACTATGCCTTGTGCTTTCCCAATGTGACTGGCTGCATGGTCAGCATGGATGTCCCTCACACCTAAAATTGCAGAAATAATATGTTTAGAAACATGCAGTCAGACCTTTTGAGGAGTATGGTCTTCCCTGATGTGTATCACAGTCATACTTCAGGAAAGCTAAGTGCATTGGTCCATGACAGAACATTCTGTGCATAAATTGCCTTGCAATCTCATCTCAGAGGTGCAAAGCAGCAGGAAAAGTCATTGATTTCCACATTCAGGAGTAAGATGCCTATTATTTTGTTGCAGTGTCTGCAAAAGGTATACTTAGCAGAGCAGCACCTATTCAGATAGAACACATCAGTACACAAACTCATTTTCATTGATATGTCCTCTCCCAGGATAACAGTATCCCAAGAACTGTTTTTCCTGCCAAAAAAACTCATTCAAGTGTGAGATTCCTGACAAGCATTAATCCTTACAATGTGGTTTCATGATTAACTGCAGCTGATTCATCATGGTAGTGAAGACATAGAGAATGATCCTACACTTCACCCCCCAAACCCATATTTCTGCCCCCTCCCTTGTGCTGTTTGCGGCAATGAGGAAAACTGAATCAGATCAGCAAAACAACAGAAAAGTAACTTTAGTTACTGCACAGTCACACAACTGTGAGAACTGAAAAAGGGATCATAAAGCTGTAATGTTTTCACAGGACTGACCCAGGATAAAATGAAACTTAAAGGAAAATTGAAATTAGAACTCATAAAAGCTCTAGCAGAAGCAGCATTCCATGAAGAAAGAAATGAGGATACAGGAATGACAGTCAGTGAGCCTAACTAACTTCTGAAGATTGTACCAGGCATACCAGATTCCCAGCAGAAGCCTGTCTGGGCCTTCAATGGATCTCAAAAGCCTCTGCAAAACAGTGGCTATAAATTAACTACAGAGAAAGCAAAGTATGTCTTGGAGGAATCAATGGATATAACTTACTGATACTGACTGGGCAGCTCAGGATTTACATTTAACTAGGAATTTGGGGGGAAAAAAAAGCTCAGAGTTAGCAGTGACTCATGCTCAACCTGGGAATATATCCCAAAAGTGACATTCTTAAAAGGTTTAACAGAATTATTTAGTAGTATCAAACTCCTAATTACTGAGGCAATTAATCAGAGAGCACAACCATTGATATTTTTAAATGACAGGAGCTGAGAGGAGGTACGAGGACTTTGGCTGACACAATTACCAGTCAAAATGAGAGAGAACCTGAAATCAGTAAGAATAAAACAGCACTAGTACCGGGAGAGATACACACACAGTGGAGACTGGTTAGGAATAAAGAATCTAAAAAGGACAAGAAATTTGACCTGCAATGAAACCAGGTCTACCTACTCTGGAAAAGATTGCTGATGGGGAACACCAAGAAAGGGTTTGGTTAGTTTCCCTGTTTAAGGAGAAAAAATTACAGAAGTTAACTGTTTAATATGCAGTGAAGGAGACTTTTGCTTAGATACTTTATTACATTCATAAATTTAAGAGAAGTGACACATGACAATAGAACACCTAGAATATCCAGAGCCTCCATACCCATTTTGAAAAACAGATTTATCTATTTGTACCAGGAGTGACCCAAGCATGACTGAACTTATTCAGGATCAAAAACATTTCTCAGAATGAAAGATTTTGACATTTCTCATACTCCTACATTTCTTCAATCAGAGGTTCAGAAAGACATTTGCAACATTTCACTGATTTCCTACTGAGGAAGCAAACATTGGATGTTAAGTTCCTCATTTCTTCCAAAGAATAAGGTGCTCACCATATCTCTTTTTAATTCTTTTAATTTCATTTTTATTAAGTCTTTTAGCCTCAGTATTGGCCTTCCATCAGACCACTCTGATAGACAAGAAGAAAATATTGCTTCTACAATACTAAATACTACTAAATAACAGTTTTTTCCACCTTTTTTCTACATCTGAGCTCATACAGGGAATACTTCCATAGTGCAACAGACACCTAAAAGAAAATTACCCTTTTCTTCACTACAGATGAACAGTTCTTTCCCAATCTGTAACTCTTATATTAGACATGAAACTAGTTCTTGATCACAAGGATCATTTTTGTTGCATTTTTTCTAGCTATTCAACTATTGATAGTTAACCTACTTCTAAGAGGATTCACACCCAAATTTAAAATATCACCAAGGGAAGTTTATAGGTTGGGAAGTTGGCTGTTTCAAGATAATCAGTGTACATCACTGCAATACAGAACAACAGCTGCAGAATATCTACAGCACCTTGTGTTCTGTAGGGCAATCTAAATATAGTGAAGAGTTGAATTTACCACACATAAGAGCAAGAAGAGACAAAACAAAGCAACAAAGAATGGAGGAGTAGGAAACTGCACTTCAGTGAGCTCTGCACTGAGCAGCTTCCAAGGAAAGCATAGGTCTAGGACAGCTGTAGTACAATTCCACATTCAAAAGATATATGAAGCATTACCTAAGGCAACTTCTATGAAAGTAAACTCCAGTGGGAAAAGAATGGGCTTTTGAAACATCAATAAATATTGTACCTGCACTAATGAGTCAACAACAAAACATAAAAAGGGCAAAACACCTACCCAGCATTTCCAAGGTGAGGTACAAGAGAGCACTCTGAGTGTTCTCAGCATACGTTTCGAGCTCCTGGATGTTACGGTATGCCCTATCATCCAAATTCTTCTCCTGTAATATAAACACAGAACTTCAGTAAAACATAACTGCTATTTACACAAGTTTATTACTACGGTCATGTCAACCTAATTCACTAACAAAACAAAAAAAGGACAAAAATTGAGAGACAGAAAAGTATAGACTCGGATAGAAGCAATCGTTAAAGCTTATAGCAAGTCTAACATAATCAACTACATGCAACTGCAGCCATGTCTGCTTACTCGAGCAAATACAACTTTCTGCAGTAATATGAAATCAGAATTCTTCATTAAAAAAAGATACAGCCAAAACAAAACATCATATGGTATTCTTACACCATGAAGTTTTCAATTATAATAGTTATTTTGCAACTGAAGCACAGAGAAATTTGGATAAATATGAATGTATGGTTTAAAACATGCATAAAAATCTATCAAATACACATGAGTTTCAAAGTCATAAGCAAATCATTGACTCTTAGAATCATGGAATGGTTCGGGCTGAAAGGAACCATCTAACTCCAACTCCCCTACCATGGGCAGGGACACCTTCTAATAGAGCAGGTTGCAGAGAGTCCAATCTGGCCTTGAACACTTCATAGACAGTCCACAAACTCTCTAGCCAACCTGTTCCATTGCCTCACCACCCTCATAGTAAGGAATTTCTTCCTAACATCTAATCTAAACCTACCTTTCTTCAGCTTAAGGCCATTCCCTCTTGTCCTATCACTACATGCCCTTGTGAAAAGTCCCTCTGCAGCCTCTTGTAGCCCCCTTCAGGAGGGTGCTATAAGGTGCTATCCCCCAGAGCCTTCTCTTCTAAGGGACCAACAGCCTCAAATTTCTCAGCCTGTCTGCATAGGCAAGGTGTTCCAGCCCCCAGATCAACTTCGAGCCTCTAATAAATAATACAGCCAAAAATAATAAAATACACCCAAATGATGTAGTATCTAATAAAATACATCAAAAAATATAACATCCTCCAGCATTCTTCCTGTCCTAGCGGTTTCTGTGGTTAAAACATACTAGTCATAGGATTAAGAACCAGTTTTAAGATTAATAAACTCTGAAGTCTTTCATAGCAATGACACTCTGCAAGTAACTGACCATCAATTTTCTCAATGTATAACTTCATGAGACACTAACTTCAGCAATAAAAATAGTTTAAGAAATTCCTGCCCCCCGCTTTTCATTCCTGCCCTTGTGTCAGAGCTGGTAGCAGCATCACTGTACCAGTGAAATTCTTCCTCATTTTTTCCCAGAAAAGGGTGGATATTTTAAACTTCATGTGATTTGAATGCTCCAGTTTACAACATTGCTGAGGAAAAACTCCACAGCCATGATAAGAAGCGGAAAAGTGTGGCAGAAAGGTTCAGACAAGTCATTTAATTTTTGAGATCCTACATCTATGTGGACTCACAAACTACACCTACTTTAAAGCAAAAATAAACAAAGGATTCTATTAGCCATTCTGGCCAGAAAAGAGCAGAAACTATGAAGAGTGGTATCAAGGGAGAATTAAAAAGAAATATAGCAGTATTATTTTTAAAGAGAAATACTGCTGTCTGGAAAAGATGAATTATATAAGCTTTTGTTCTACACATAAGCACATAAAAATAAGGAAAAGAAAAGCCAAATATGACTAAAACTAGAATCAGACTCTGAATGGTAAATACTTACTCTTTCATCAATGATCTTCATGAACCACATTTTAGTCAAATTATGCCTCTTGACAGCCTGAAAATTATCAAATAAAACCTCCATGTTAATGTATACAAAGTGATGGTAATACTGCATTCTGAAGGCTGAAATATATTTTAGATATTTAATACAATAATACAGAGATTCAAATACAGAAATTTTCAAATGACATTTACTGCAAGTTGCTGCACACAAAAATGAAATACTGGACATCAAGCCAGCTAACTAAAAGCTTTTCTTTAAAAATGTTTTTGCAAGTAATTTATTCTTGGAGTCATACGTTCCCGCAAAATATTTGCAGATAACTATGTTCACTTTCCAAAAAGAACACAGTTTCCTCCAGAGTCAAGCAATAAAAAACATTTCCCCTATACATTTTCAAGAAAACACCAGTACAACATACTGATACATACTGTAAAGACAGCAACCTAACAAATTATTATACTGAATATTCTGGGTTTGTTTAAAATGTATCCCACAGCATCTCATATTCATACATTCTTTTGGCTTTTAGCTTGTACTTAACTTCCTTCCTGTATCACTTCATTCTATCAACTTACCTTCAATCCTCTTAATTACACACATTGAATTTTCCAGAACACATTGTCAGAAAGGCTACATTCACACATATAAACATTTACAAACAAGATTTGTGGAGCAGATTTCTCACCATTTAGCTTAATAGCTCATTTTCAATTTCTTCTTTACATCCATCATATTAGTAAATATTTTTTCAAGGTTTGACAAGACCAGATCTTGTTGATTCAACAAATTCTGCTTGAGACAGTACTCCGTATGTGAAAAGACAAATTTTAAGTTATAACTACGAATGTCAGGTTTGATTCTCACTTGTTCACCGAGAGTATAATTTTGTAAACTAAATCCTTTAAACAGTCACAGGTCAAGACTTAAAGCTCCAAAATGAATTCTGCTAAATTATGCAATTTGAACATTACATCCATTTTAAGCTACCTTCATTCAAACACACAGGTCCTCACTTCTCAAGCTTCAAAAACTGGCTTCTTCTACCAGAAACGAATGGAGAATTAGGCCTCACTCTTCATGTGTTCAAAATGGACAGACAAGTAGGAACAATTTATACAGCCACTGTATAAATTTATATTAAAGTCACCAAGAAATGAGCTATTAATAATTCAAGAAATACTATTAAAGGCTATTTATCTACTTTACTAGTGCATAAAACTTTAGGAATCCAAATGTGAGTATTCTGGGATATACAAAACTTCAGGAACACATTTAGCATGATAAATTAGAATTTATTCTGGAAAATCAAACTGTCCTCATATAAACTCAACAGTAAAAAGAGTACACATTGATTATGTTGTGCAAAGACATGCTAATTCTATTAACAGTTTTGCAATACTTGTGAGTTCAGGTGTCTTTCCAAATGCTTCTTTCTAAGAATTGCAATGCCATTCCTGGACATTTGTGAAGCCATGATCTTCAAATAGGTCATTCTTGGGGTATTTGCCAAAGTACAGAAATAAAAATCACATCTTGACTGAAAAGGTCACCAGGTAAGGTTGAATTGTCAGTTCATTCCAGTGCTCTGCAGTGCTCAGAGCTTTCAGAGCTCCTAGAAATACCTTCTGAATTATTTTTCAACATCTTATTTCGCAACCAGTTCTGTTTGGATTGTATTATATTGGTCTTCCTTTAGAGAAATCACACATGAGGTGAAATCTTACTAGAGAGATAGGCAATCCTTTCTTCCATTCAAAATCAATTTTCTGTTTTGTGAGAAAGGAGCATGACTGGGCCCTAGCTGCTGGGAAGGGTTGCAGTTGGTATCCCAGTATATGAATGATTTATATCTGAATGCTGTTCTGGTTTTGGCTGGGATAGAGTTAATTTTCTTCACAGTGGCTTTTATGGGGCTGTGTTCTGGATTTGTGCTGGAAAAGGTGTTGCTAAGAACTGCTGTTATAGTTACTGCTGAGCAGTGATTACACAGTGTCAAGGCATTTTCTGCTGCTCACACCATCCCACCAGGGAGGAGGCTGGGAGTGCACAAGGAGTTGGGAGGGGACACAGCCAGGACAGCTGACCTCAGCTGACCAAAGACATATTCTAGACCATTTGGCATCAAGCTCAGCAGTAAAGTAAGGGGGGAGGTTGGCAGGAGGGAGAGGGCACCTCTGCTAAGAGGCTGGCTGGGCTTTGATGCACACACTCCACACTGACACACATAAGCAGCCTGAAAATAAAAGTGGTTGAAAGAAAAGATACAGTCGTATCCACAACTAACTTGTACCTGACCCGCTCCATCAGACAACTAAATGAGAGGATATCTTCAGAAGCAAAAATAAGTTAGGCTACACTAAGGTTGCTCCTTAGAAAGGTGAAAAAAGCATTTTGGGAGAAAACCATCTTGTACCTGGGAAGTTTGCCATTTGTTGGAAGAGTGACAGAGAGAAGGAAATAAAAAGCAAAAGCACAGACAGATTGACATGGTAAACAAGTGGTTCTGCACTTTAATATCTGCATTAAAGTATAATGCTAAGTACATCTTCAACTCCCATAATCCCATAAAAAGGCTCACAACAGTTGCCAGTCTTCATTCTAACTGTATGAACACTTTGATGTAGCTAAAGCACATAATTTATCTGAGCTGGAGACACCTAGGAAAAGCTCTGGTCTTCCCTAAAGTGACTGTAACATTTTATTTCCTGGCATTACCTATGTTTTCTCTTAGTTAAACAAAGTGTATCTTAGTTTAAATCTCAATTTTAATCTAAACATGAGTGTTGACAGACAGGAACAAATGCTCACTTATGCTTTATGTCACATTTGAAGGAGGAAGAGTCAGGGAGAGGCCAAGGTTCTTTGTAAAGGACTAATTTTTGTGGTCTCGGAGGTGCAGCAGAGTTGCATCCATCCCTGAAAGTGTTCAAGGCCGGGTTGGATGGGACTTTGAGCAACCTGGTCTAGTGGAAGGTGTCCCTGTCCATGGCAGGGGCACTGGAACTAGATGATCTACAAGGTCCTTTCTAACCCAGGCCGTTTTATGAAGCCGAGTGAAATCAAAACTGCAACAAGAGAAATGCTCTAATCCTGCAGAAACTGCATTGTTCTAATCCAGAGTTACAGTGAGTGTCCCGCCTTTCCCAGGATTTTAACAGGAACAATGCAGATGAATATTTGGACAAAGACTCCACATTTCACTGCCTGTTTTTCAGCAGGTCCACAAACCTAACTACCTATGGATCTATGTCAACTGCATTCAGCTACTGAGGTTTAGCGAAACTGCAGCTTTTTCTGTCCAGGAACTCAGAGATCTTTAGTTTAAATCCAGGTCTGATCTTATAGAGTAAGAGTAGCTGTTCTCTTGGAGCACTTGTGGACTTGCTGCTCCAAACACTTGCTGTGGCCCGTGGCCCTAAGATGCCAAGTTAACAACATATGGAATTTCCATCCCCGAAAAAATTCAAAATTCACCTCAATGTGACCCTGATAACCTGATCTAACTTTGATGTTAGATCATCTCTGAATGGCAAGCTGGACTAGATGACAACCTACCAATGAAATCATTGTGGTTTTACATCAGCATCAAGGGGATTTACACTGCCATTTACACTGCCTTCAGACCTTCAATTGCCCATTGAACATATTAATGACAGTCCTAAGTAGAAACAGAAAAATTTGGAAGAAAGCCTCTGTTTCTTTGGCCATGGTCAGCAAAGGGATAGATATGTAGGAATACTTCATGTGTGATGTTCTAGTCCCTGCAGAACTTGGGCATCTTGGTAAAAATAAAGTGCTAAGATCACAAGTACATCCTTTTTACTCAATGCACATAAAAAGATCTGTGCAATACATAAACAGAAGCCACCATGCAGCTCTTGATGTGAGGAGAAGACTGTATTAAGATTTTCCCTATTATCCAGTAACTGCATAAAGTCTTAGGCCTTTCCTCATACCTATTTGCTAGTTCACCTTCTGTGCTCAACTTTCTGTCTTTTTCTACAGCTGAATCTCTTCAGATGTAACTAGCACCGGCTTAGAAAAGTACACTTTTGCACTTCAACTATCAGCTTATGGCTTACCACAATTTACTCAGCCCTTCACCTAAGCAGAAGAGAAAAAAGCAGATGGTTCAGAGAAGTCTGACCTTTCAAGCAGGTCCCACATAAATATCCTCCTTCTCCAACTCAGCTCTTTGCTTGTAGGTAGCTTACACACAGAAACACAAACACAATTTACATTATCTGTTTTATATAAAATAATGCTGTTAACTATGTAACACAGCACACGCAAAACACTGACATTATTTCCCACGGTAATACTAAAGTTAAGTGAATTTTAGGACAATAAAGGCATATTTTACCCTCCACAGTTCTGTAGCAACTGGCTGATGTGGTGGGTTATCACAGTATATGTCCTCCACAGCCTCCCTCCAGAACTGCATCCGCATCAAACCCGTAGTCTTCTGAGTTATGGAGTCTTTAACCTGGAAAGGACACATCTGGAGTGAAACTCACAGTGTCTTTAAGACACTTGGTCTATCTACGCTGAAAAGAGACACAGGACATAGCCACACTCAGTAGGGAAAATGCTCAGTTTTCAATTGATGTTTATTCCCGATACAGCTTGTGAACACTACATAAACTAAAAAAGAAATCTTCCCCACGACCTGAACTTTGAAACCCGTGGAGATTAAGTCTCGGGTGACCGTCACCCTAGCTTTCTTCCCAGAAGGAAAGGAAGCAGCAGTGCCAGCAGTGCAGGAGAGCACATCATGGGTTGCCAGAAGCACGGCCTACATGAGCTGGTCAGGGGTTTAGCCTGGTCAGCTCATTTCCTGGATCACTCCTTTCTGGCAAGCTTTGCCAAGTTTCCTGGCTGCACTGGCAGTTTCTGGCCACCTAGCAAAGGGAAGAGACTGCAGCCACTCCTCTCCCATTACACTGACAGCAAACTTCCCTCCTTGCAACCTTTCCCTCACCTTGCTTCTGCCAACAAAGACCTGGTCCTGGTTATCCAAGTTTTTGACAGACCTTCTACAGACAGGATTTAGCTGCACTTGACTGATTCGGTCGCTGTATGTGAAACCAGGATGTAGATGCAATCACATAACAGTATCAAGGACCACTGCCTGTTATAATTGTTATAATTTAATTTTAATTTTAAAAAGCACGACAAAGAGGAAAGCCAGAAAATCTATACACATCAGCAAAATAATTGGGGGAGGCTGCCTACTTTCCATGGGCCATTCAAAACTAGAGGTTTCTATTGCACTAGTTATTCATTGCCCTTCACAATATAAAAAGTTAATCCTGGCAAAACACAACCTACTAGTGTAATTTAGAATATCAAAATTGTTATTTTACATTTCTAGAGTTCACAAATATATTTTAATACCTGCCTGAGCCAGTTCCACATTGAAGGCTCTCAAGGCAAAAGCAGAGGTTCGAGATTCCGCAGGCAACAGCAGAGAACACAGAAACCCTTCATAGTCACGCTTTCTATAAAAGGATGAAAAAATATATTTGTTACTTATAGCTCTGTGTACATTGGGTGTGTTACTGCTTAGCACTGAACTCCTGAAAGAGTAGCAATAAGTTATAGTTCAAAACTTTGCAAAAGTAGCGGCTTTTAAGCTTAAAATAAGACAAACTCCAAGAGAGGGGAGGTTGTCTGAACTCTCAATGCACCTCTGAAATCCAGATCTCAGATATCTGACTAAAGGCAGAAGAAAGGCTATGGCAGAACTGCAAAAAGAATCCAGCTTGTCCGACCTCCAGATTTCTGTTCCAAACATGAAACCACATTTCTTTAAAAGATTGTGCTTTGGAGCTTGGCAGAAGAGTGCTCACTTAACCATTAAGTTTTTGTTTATATTGGCAATTATATTCAAAGCATAAAAACTGTGGGAGCTGGCAGTTTCGCTGCAGGCAACCCACTGTCACCCTGGAGTGACATGCCATCGTTTGGCCACGTGGGTGTGCCACGAAATTAAAAACAACACGGTGCACAGAATCACAGACTGCAAAATCAGACATTACTGCAGCTAATAAAATCACCTGGCCACTTCTGAAAGGCTAAACTGCTGGTTTTGAACAATGTTTTTGTGTACTTTCTGATAAGCCTAAAACCTGATTCTTTGTTAGAACAAGTCTAACAACTCCAAGTTTCACCTGGAAAGTGGAGAAACAGGTGTCAAGGAAAACACATTTGCTCATTTTCATGAAGTTTGCTGTTCTTCCATGTACTCATATTTCTTTGGAATATGAGCTTAAAATAGCAAAGCCAAACTAAAACCAAGGGCTATTAGGGTTGCTACTTTTAGCATCAAACAAAAAGGAAGTGAGCTTTAACAGAGTTTCTTAACCCTACAGCAGCTGACAACAAACACTTAAGAGTTTTCACAATGGTTGTGAAACTTGTTTTAGAGTTTGATGCAAATTCACAAACATAAACAAAAAAATTTACATTTGTGAATTTTAGCAGGCTTTAAGGGTCACATTCGTATTAAAGAACAGATGCATCAAATCTCCCTCAATTAAGACAGTTTCTGAAAGTATTATCACCTCAAAACCTAGTATTTTTTTCAAGACTGATTGTAGTAATACCGAGTTTTGCCCACTCTACGCAGAGCTGCAAGGTTTACAGCCACATTTTCCCAGTTCCAGTTTGCCTGAGTTGTTCACGCAACACCTCTACTTTCAGAAAGAAACAGGTTACACAAAGTACACAGCAGTACAATAGAGAAATTTGTCTTCCCTAGAGTAATGGTGTTGACATGTTGGTTTTCAATTATTCCAAGCTTAAAAATGAAGTGTAGCAAATCTATTAAGCCACAGTGTGTAAAATAAAACTGATATTGCTGTAGATCACGTTCTATCTCAACGTCCTATCTCAACGTCCTTCATGTATTAGTGTAAGGAATGAAGAAAGAAGGGAACGACCTTAAGTCAGGTATTGAGTGTTTTTCATAGTTTTCCTCTCACATAAGTATATTTTATGTATGAACACACAGAAGAAAAGCTGGCTATGACCATTATTGGACTTTCAGTATGATGAATTTCCTCCATGTTATGAAACTTCATAATACCATCAAGCCACATGGTTGTCTTCCAGAGCAGACATCATAAGCAGCAAGAGACAGAAAACATACCTACTAGGGATACATATTTTTAACTAAATAGCTTTAAGCAACTTTTAAAAGAGTTGCTTAACATAAAAAGGAAAGCCCAAGAGAAAGGACATCTTGCATATTGCAAAAACTTGCACAAATGTATATCCTTAAAGCATAACTCAGTTGTTCTTCCTAGTGTGTGGGATAATCAAATTCAGGACTAGGGAATTGCTGATGCTTGCACAGCCACAGGTGTTTTATTTCTGTTTGAATAATAACTCCTTTCTCTTTTTTTTATAGTTTATTATTTCCATGCAATATATGAGCTACTGGGAACAGCAGCTTCAATTAAATGAAGCCAAAAGCATAACTACCTTTCATTTTGCTATTTTGAATGGTCATGTATTTTTCTAACTAATCTTTTTATCATTTAACAAAAATGTATATTAAAAACGTTTTAATTCAACCCTCTCAGCTTCTGTGCCTTCAAACCTAACTATTCTGTTCACAGTTGTTTGTTACTGAAAACATTTTACCTGTATACGTTACCTTTATTTTTATATTAACTGCACAAACAGCCTCTGGGCTCTTGAGTATCAGGTGAACAAATCCTGGGTAGAGTAACTAGGAAAAGAAAGCTATATTCTGAAGCTTTGTCAAGGAAACTGCAACCTGGCTGTGCGCTCTGCTGCATCTGTATAGATCTGCTGGTTTTTGCTGCACTGAACGTTTAAGATTGTCCCATTTCTTCCCATTAGTTTTCCTACCTCAGGCATTACTGCTGACTATACACACCTTTCTGTCTTTTACAAGCATTAGTTTGGAAAAGATGATCCTGTTCCACTCTTTCTATACACACTTGGAAGCCGCCTCCCTGCTTTTGTCAACCATCTAGGACAACAGTATCCAAAGAGAAATTATTTAGGTCTTTAAAAAGAGACTTGTTAAACGTTTTACTTTGAAAAGAACTGAACTTCTGTGGATTAGAAAACAGCCAAGGGGCTCTGCACTTTGTTTACAGCCCAGAAGCCCAACAGGAAACATGGCTTGGCCTGGAAGTGTCTGAGTTGTACTCCCGCTCCTCTTGGAGCACTTTGGATTTGACAAAAAAATGTATGCATGCTTCTGGAACATAGCCTCCCTCCTGCATTCAGGACAGAGAAGGTACTGAGCTGCCTGTCCAGCTATCGGATGTCGTCTGCTTTTGCCCATTTTTCTAAGAAGCACTCCGGAAGCTTGGCTGTTTCCCAGCAGCCAAGAAAATCTGACAAAACCCATTATTTTTAAACATCCACTTCGGTGATTTCTCTCTCCAAAATCCCGAGGCAAAGAAACTGAAATATTCGAAATTTCTGAAGAAATGCAGGAGCGAAGGGGCGGGGGCGTGTGTGGATTTCCGTGGGAGGCTTCCCAGGAAGGTGGTGGGAATCTCCTGGAGACATTCAAATGTCTCTCCGGGGACATTCAAAGCCCACGTGGACGCGTTCCTGTGTAACCTGCCCTGGGTGACCCTGCCTTGGCAAGGGGCTGGACGAAACGCCTTCCAGAGGTCCGTTCCAACCCTATCGGTTCTGTGATCCTGTGTGCAGGGTAAATCATCCACGCAGGTGAAATATCCGCCTGCTTTCCACGCTCCCAACACGGCGCCGGCCATAGGGACCGTTCTCGGGGCCAGGAGAGGCCAAGGGCAGCCTGGGGGAATCCCAGTCACCCTTTCAGGGAACTCGCCAGCTTCCCCATCGGGAGGGAAGCGCTGTCGAGCCCTCCTGGGACA